TTCCCCCGCTGCCGGTCCGGTGGCGCCTTCCCCCTGCCCGCCGGCTTGCGCGACTGCGTGCGCTTCGTCCGGGCCTTCCGCCTGCAGGACGCAGGTAGCCGGCGCCCGGCGCCCCGACCTCACGACCCATCACGACCCGGCGCGCGCGCCCGGCGCTCAAGTGCCTCTGTCGCCCATAGACGTGCAGTTCCTGGCCTCGGTGCTGCCCCCAGACACCGACCCTGCGTTCTTCGACCACCTTCGGGCCTTAGACGGCTCCGGGGTGACGCTGAGGGCCCTGCCCGAGGGCTCCCTGGCTTTCCCGGGCGTGAGTGCAGGCTGAGCGGGCCGGAGCGGGGGGCCCAGGGGCCAGGCCGCGCGCTGACCGTCCTCCCTCCCCGCCAGGTGCCGCTGCTGCAGGTGTCTGGGCCGCTCCTGGTGGTGCAGCTGCTGGAGACCCCGCTCCTGTGCCTCATCAGCTACGCCAGGTGGGCCTGGCAGCCCGAAAGGCGGCCGGTGGGGCTCCTGGGCCGGCCGAGAGGGGCAAGGGCATTGGGCTCCATGGGTGCATCTTGTTGGGGGCCTCCCACCGTGGAGGGTCTTGAAGAGAGACTGGTGAAGGACGAGGGTGGAGCTCTGGGCTGTAACTCCCACCGCTTGGCCATCACCCGGGTCCCTGACCCTTGCTCCCACAGCCTGGTGGCCACCAACGCAGCACGCCTTCGTCTCATTGCGGGGCCCAAGACTCGACTGTTGGAGATGGGCTTGCGGAGGGCTCAGGGCCCCGACGGGGGCCTCACAGCCTCCACCTACAGCTATCTGGGTGGTGAGAGCAGGGGAGGCGAGGGCTGGGGAGGAAGGCCTCACCTTGTGCAGCGCAGCGCTGGGAGTCTCCCAAACCCCCAATTCCTCAGGCTTCGACAGCAGCAGCAACGTGCTTGCTGGGCAGCTCCGGGGCGTGCCGGTGGCCGGGACCCTGGCCCACTCCTTTGTCACCTCTTTCTCAGGCACTGAGGTGCCCCCTGACCCGGTCAGTATCTTTTCTCCAGCCTACTATGCTTGGGAGAGCAGACCCCAGGGCCTGAGGAGGTGGCCAGGCCTGCTGTGCACACTGGCTGTGGCCCTTGGCCAGCAGCCCCAGCGTCACCCCAGCAGCTGGCCTGCAGCCTCAGCTCCTCCCAGATCTCACCCTGCCCTCTGAGCTGCCACCCTTCCCGATCCTTCTCCGCAGATGTTGGCTCCTGCTGCCGGCCAGGGCCCCAAGGTGGACTTGGCTGCTAGTGTCGAGGAGTGGCTGGGCCGCGTGTGTGCCCACCTGGGGCTGGGGGTCCAGGAGCCGCACCCAGGGGAGCGGGCAGCCTTTGTGGCCTATGCGCTGGCTTTCCCCCGGGCCTTCCAGGGCCTGCTGGACTCCTACAGTGTGTGGAGGTGAGCGTCGGGCCTGCCAGGGTGGGCTGGCAGTGCGGCCACAGCCCCATCACTGTCTATGCCTGCAGGAGTGGGCTCCCCAACTTCCTGGCCGTAGCCTTGGCCCTGGGGGAGCTGGGCTACCGAGCAGTGGGCGTGAGGCTGGACAGTGGAGACCTGCTTCAGCAGGCCCAGGAAGTCCGCAGGGTGTTTCGGACCGTGGCGGCCCAGTGAGTCCCCAGAGGGGTGTGCCCATGGGATTTGGGGTGGGGCCGGACAAGGAGGGTCAGCTCTCCTCTCACACAGTGAAGAACCTCTAGCCCAGTTTTGGGGTGATGGTGCAGGTCCTGGGAGGAAGTGGGGTCACCCAGGGTATTCTATGCAAGAGGTGCGTAGGGTTTGGCAGACGGGGGTGGGGGTGGGGTCAGGGTGAACCCGGGATCTGCAGAGGGGCTGCCTCACCCACCCCCACCATCGGCAGGTTCCAAGTGCCCTGGGTCGAGTGGGTGTCCATCGCAGTCAGCAACGGTGTTGACGAGAAGGAGCTGGCCCGGCTGGCCCAGGAGGTGGGGCAGGCGGGGTTGGGGCAGGGGTGAGGGGGGAACGACAGGCAGAAGGTGGCTCGGAGGGCCCTGTGGCTGCTGAGCCAGCGCCACCTCCTCCCCCACCAGGACAGTGAGGTGAACATCATTGGCATTGGCACCAACGTGGTCACCTGCCCCCGACAGCCATCCCTGGGCTGCGTCTACAAGGTTGGGGGACAGCATCTGGAGCCCAAGTGGAGTGGGCTGGGGATAGGGTCAGTCCCACAATGCCCGCTCCCCACAGCTGGTGTCTGTGGGAGGCCAGCCCCGAGTGAAACTGACAGAGGACCCGGAGAAGCAGACACTGCCCGGGAGCAAGGCGGCCTTCCGGCTCCTGGGTCCTGATGGTGAGCCCCCGGGCCCCGCCCCGTGGTGCCTGCCCCGGGCCCCGCCCCGCGATGCCTGCCCCG